ACCTTTCTTTTGAAGTTGGCAGAAGTTGGATCAAACCCTAATTGAGTTGATAATCCAGTATAGCTATAGTTTGATACCATACATGACAACAAATTAATTAGCGCATATTGCATTTACTCTCCCTTTCAGAAATGAGGCAGCAGGAGTGTTAGTAGTACTCAGTGAGGGCATCTACATGTTCATTAATGTGCTTTAGGTAATGCACGTTTAAATTTAATACCTCCAGTGTAAGGTGCTAAAAATGCACATTAGCTTATTTGGTGCACATTGACTAAAGAGCATGTTTTCTGTGACACTTTAATGCTTATTAAAATAGTCTAATGCTCATTAAAGGGCATGTGTAGATGTGCCCATTAACATTTTTTTGGTCTCGGTTTTGTTCCGTTAGGAAGTGTGTAGTCTTTCTAGCACTTTAGATTATTTTTAATTACAAAACTGATAATTTTTTATGTTGTTTTATAGTCCTTGAAAATGTTATTTAGAAGCTAAGGAAGGAAATGCCTGAAAGGAGGAGGAAACATCAAAACATTAGGACAAGGAAGTGGTTAATAATTTGAGGGCATGGGCTGGAGGAGAATAATACTACAGCTTTAGAAATGAACAGTGTTTTAAATGTTATTGACAGTTGGTATTCTTGAAGAAAATTTGAAAACTTCTAGTTGAGATAGAGGTGCACCAATATATCGGTGCGATATCGGATCGGCACCAATAAAAGGAAAATTAATATTATTGGCTGTCAGCTTTTTTTTTTTTTTGGTCAAGGTAGCCGATAATGTACCGATAAATATAACATGCCTTCTGGCTGGCGTCCCTAGACACCGCGAGCATATGTGCAGCTGGACGCTGCATGCATACACATGGCTGCACCCGCATGTGGCCGGGAATGCAGCTGGGCATCATGGAGAGCAGCGCCCTGCAGGTAAATCTGTGGAAGGGAAGGGACAGGGATGGGGGGGGAAGAGATCAAGGCCTCCACAGTGAGGGATGGAGTGGGACAGTGGCTGAGGTTGGGGCTGGGATAAGGCAGTGAATGGGACTCCAAGGCAGGGAATGGGACGGAGCTGCAGACAGCTTGTCCAGGTGGTCAGGGGCCCAGCACTTAAAAATGGTGGTGGGGGTGCTTGAACTAAAACTCGTTGAATGAGCTTTAGTTCAAGTGCCACCGCCATCATTTTTAAGCACCAGGATGCTTTTAACCAGAGCGAGGTGAGGGTGAAGGTGGGCTGCGGGCTCTTCACCCTGCTGCTTTTGCCCTGGGAGCTGCGCACTGGCCCCGCTGCATTCCCATGCCCATCAGCAGCAGTGGCAGCAGCGAGTTCTCTCTCCTGCTGCTAGACAGGCAGGGGAGGCAGCGCAGTCAGCACATGACTCCCAGGGCAAAGGCAGCAGGGCGAAGAGCCCTGAGCCTACAACAGGCTGCTTTAGTTCAAGCATTCCTGTCACCATTTTTAAGTACCAGAACACCGATCTCCTGGACAAGCAGCCCGTAACTCTATCCTGTTTCCCACCCTGGTCCGGGGGTCCCATTCACTGCCCTGCCCCAGCCCCTGCCCCACTCCCTTCCTGACCATGGGGGCCTTGATCTGCACCCCTCATACCCCTTCTCCTCAACAGACTTACCTTCAGGGTGCTGCTCTCCACACTGCCCACCTGCATTCATGTAAACAAGTTATTGGATCAGTATCAGCCAATATGCCTGAAGAATGAATTTTTGGCTATCGGTATCGGCCAAGAAAATCTTTATCGGTTCACCCCTAAGTTGAGACATTAAATGTATCAAAAGAAATTTCTTCTCTGTTTCCATATTTCAGATTTCTAAGATTTGAGGGTTATTTCCTCATTTCTACAATCTGTTTCTGTATGTGGGGTTTCTTTTCCTGGGATGTATTTACATTAGAAATTCAAGTATGGTAGGTCTCTTTCCAAAGAGACTCTATGCCCACTTAAAGGGCCCATCATAATCCCATTCTTCTTTGCAGTAAATCACCTCTTAATATGTATTTTAAAACAGAATACAAACCACTTCACCACGGTGTTTTATAATACTAATTTAATTCAAACTCTATACAAACTTCTGAAAGAAAAATATATTTTTAAATTTCAGTTCCCCCTTGCTGCTTTAGTTAAGGGATCAGAAAACTCATAAGTTTACTTGCGAGGTATCTGCACCCTCAAACAAAACTGAGAAGTGCATGATTTGGTGGTGTTGATAACAGAAACGGAGATTTGTTGGTAGTGGTGAGTGGAATGACGAGCCTTTATTGTATACCAGGAAGAAGCAAAATGGCACATTCCTATTTTAGAATAAGTGATCCACAAAACAGAATAGGATCTATGACAGGAAAGGTCATGTATTAGTATCAGTAACAACTTTAAACTTCCAACACCACCAGGTTTATGCTGTACCGTGGAGTGTTGCCCTGACCGTTTGCGATGAGGTGATGATATAGCTGACTTACAGCCCCAAACACATGCCAATAGACATAATCAAGACAGAGAGCCTGTGGTGCCTGATGAGCTCTACTGTAAGAAAGCTGTACTGATTCATTTCCAGGATTTGCTGCATGTTCAGTGGGAACAAGTAGACAAGTCATGCTTCACAGCAGTGCTCTTGGCACAGCACAGCGGTGGTGTAGATAAGTCCCAGTTCTGCCATAAAATCACACAGGTGGATCTTTGTGTCTACGCAGAGTCCCTGCTGAGTGCTCTCGATTACAGCAAGGTTCTTTGTGAATGCATCCTCTTGAAGGATCTTAGCCCTTTTCTAACCTTTCCAGCAGCTCATCTCACTTTATAAAACTGTGTCCTAGTGGTGTTGACAACATGGACCAGCACTTCTGGACAGCCAGCCTGATCCCCAATGTCACTTTTGACACACCAGTTGAACTTACCTTCCATTTCTGTGTTACTGTTGGAAAATGAGTCAGATAAAAACAAACTCCAGTTTTTAGGTCTTTCCTTGTTGGGCAGTCGCGACAGCAGCATATCATGGATTGATTTTAGATAAAGTATTATCTTCGTGAGTATCTTAGTATAATGTACACATGGCTGTGTAATGTACAAACCAACCAATCCAGGTCTAAAATTAGATCTTTAGAATAGCATATATTATAAATATTGTATGCAAATTGTTCCTGTAGTGAAATGGCACAGTCTGATTTCTAGTATTTTCCATTTATTTTATAAGCATATAGGAAGTTCATAAGTGTTCTGCACTCTGCAAGGACATTTTTCAATGCCTCCAGAAAGTAGCCACATGTTCTTTGTAATCAATAAAGCAAGCAGGTAGGCAAAAGTAAGCAGCCTCATTTAAGGAAAAAGTTTCTGCATTTTAATACTTCTGAAAATGTTTGAGTTGTACTTTTCACTATTATGTAACTGAGGGGAGGGATGATGATAATAAGGATCTGAAATGTATTACAAAAATGAAAACGTTAGAAATATCTGAGCACTGGGAAGAGAATAACTGCAGCAAGGTTCTGCTTTTGTCAGTTGGCAGCATTTCTAGGGGATTTTTTTTTCATTCCCTTCTCTATTCCATTTTAATTTTTTTTCATATTTTAATTCAACAAAATGTGCCGTGTTTGTTGCTCTTTCCTGACCAGTAGTTACAGATTTTAGTCTCAAAGTAAAAGGTGAGGGGCTATATACTTTTCCATGTCAAATTTAAAATGATTCCATTGAGGCATGGTGTTTTAAGTCAGGATTGTTCAGCTGGGAGAGCTTGGGCTGCATGCAGCCCAGGAAGGGTTAGTTTGCAGCCCCTGAACTTCCACCCTGTCACCTCTCCTGCCATCAGTCCAACTGCAGCATCTGCAGCAATGTTTTGCAAAGAGGCTTTGGGGTCTCCCTCCCTTTAGATTCTGCTTCCTGCCCCACCCCAGGGCGCAGGGCAGAACAGCCCACAATACTGGAGAAACCCCTGGCATGGGGCCCTGGCATGGTGTGGTGCAGCGGATCAGTCCACAACCAGGGAGCTGAAGTTGTGCTTGGGCCACTTGTGCCCACACATGGAGCAGCAATTGGGCGGGAAGTGCCCAATGTGTTTGGCTCAGGGGGGAAGTTCCCAGGTGGCCTGTGGCCACAGCACACAGCCTCCAGTTGGAGAACTTTGTTTCAGGTCATTATCTGAGTTCATTATCTGTTAAAATGGGTAGTACCTAACTGAGACACCGTCCAAGGATATTAGTTAATGTTTTGCAAATATAAAGAATTAATAAGTGTTAAGTACTCCTGAAATGTGACAAAGCAGAATATATTTTAGTCATTAGTAAGAAATATAGCATGTCATACCAGGTAATAATAAGAAATAATTACATCTTATTTTGAAAGCATATTCTATTGAGAAGTATCAGACGATGATTTCTTCTGGTCTTGATAAACTAGCAAAAAAGCAATGACTTCATAATAGTATTAGGTACTGGTGTTATGTGCAGGAAAATTGACTGTGCAATTTCATTATCAGTTAGTTATTTACAGAAAGCAGTGGGTTTCTGCCGAAACACTTGCAAGTTCTGTGGAAAGTCATGTATGAAATATTGAACTGACAAATTTGAGTATCACACTTCTTTTTTTTTTATAAATAGAGAAAATCTATAAATTCTAACATCAAAAAATATTAATGTAAATCATGGAAGTCAGGAAAGGTCTGTTAGGTGATCCAGGCCATCCTCCTTCCAGTGAAGGATTGTTCTGTGCAGCATGTGTCCCGGTGTGTTGTCAAGCCTGCGTGGGTGGATCTTAAACAGTACGTGCACAGTCGGCACAGTTTTCCTTTAAGAACGTGCTTCTAGGTTCAAGACTGCACTGCATACCCGGTAAAAATCCCCCACTCCCTTCCAAACGTAAATTTGGCTTGTTCAGCAGCAGCCTGAAGCCCTGCATTGTTTGCTCTCAGAAGTGTGAGCTAAGGGGACAGACATTCCCTCTGCTCAGCGGGAGCACTAAGCTGCGTTCTGCCCTTGTTGCATTATTAATGGGGCAATGTTTTTATGTTGCAGATGGCTAAAAGCTAGCAAGGCACATTCGGGACCATGATGGCTCAGTTTAACACAGCCATGAATGGTAAGCAGCCTGAGCAGGGTGCATGTATGTGGGGTTGGGGAGCATTTGTTGTCTTTCTATTTAATATTATGAGTCAGTAACTGGTTGTAATGTATGTATCAATGTCTTAGTCAATTTACCATAGAACGTCTACTGTTTGCTGTCTATCATCTCACTTCCAGTTTGTGTTCTACGTGAATTGGAAAATTTCAGCACGAGTGTTGCTGCAGTGTAATCTAGAGTGCAGCTATGCCTGGAGCATCTAGTGAGCTGAGATTTAAAGTATTGTTGCATACACACTGAAGAATGTGTGACTATTTTAAATACTGAATGACTTCTAGTGAGGAATAGGCTAGGTAATAATCATTAAAATTTATGTACCTGTTCTATTATGTAATCTGACCTAAGGTTTTGATATCTTAATTTAGATATAACCAACACTTCTGTCTCCTGTATTTCAACACATTGATTATTCATAATTAGCTCAGCTTATGCTTAAAAATCATGCAGATCATCTTGTATATTTTTCCCTCCTGATTTCATATTCTGTTGAAATGTGAAATGCAGAAGCTACTTTTCTCCCTATTTCCTTTCAAAGACATGCTTCAGATAAATTTTTAGAAGGTTTATATATTAAGAGCCAGTTAGGTAACAGACATTTGAATCCCTGTATTTCTAAAGAGAATAGTTTATTTTAAAGAAATAGTTACTGTGTTTGCTGAGAAATTGGATATTTGAATGTATTACCGGATGACTTCACAGTTATGTACAAAGCTACCCAAAAAGGGAAAGGGGTGGAGCAAGATGCATGCACTTTGAATTGGCCAAAAGGGGGAAATCTGGTATTGTAGGTAAAAACATGCAACTTGTCTGGTTTGTTATTAGAAGAAGCAAATCCAAGACTGAGTTTTCATTAACTAATTCAGAAGCTGATTACTGTTGCAGTACGTTAGGATAAGGTGTTTTTATGCAAAAGAAAAATAACTTGTGTCTTTGTAAGATAAAAATGTAGTTGATGGACTGGGTTGATGGATTTGTAAAACAAAATGTTGCATGAAAAAAAACATTATGGTGATTATGTTCACCAGCACACTTTTATACAGTGTCAACTGTAGCTACATCCAGTAATAGTGTTTGTTTGCTTCACAGACTTGCTAATAATTAAGATGGTAGAATAAATGGCATGTGTGTGCTGTATTTGTCAGTTGTCAGGCAAAAGAAGATGAGCATCAGATTGTCCCTTCCACCTTCTTTGACAGAGGACAAAAACGTTGATAGAGCCCTGCTGTCCTCTTGTATTTTTCCTGTTTGCTTTTGTCTTTTATCTGTTTACTTTTTATTTCCTCCCCCTTTCCTTATCCTTTGTATGTCACTTATTCATGTCTGTTTAGTACTTCTGCTCTCTGCAAGTGCATTCATAGCATGTGAAGAGGTAGGCTTTCACCTATGAAAAGCTTTTGCCTTTCTAAATGAATTAGGGCAGGGTGGCACCTCTGAGACCTGTCTTCTGGCTGACTTCAGACCAATATGACCAAATTCGTCTCTTTGCTTTCTTTGGTCTAACCTACATGCCACAGAAGCTATTTGGGTGCTCCAGACCTCATGATCAGGCAGGACTTACTTATCTCTACCATTTACCCTTTATTCTTCCCTCGCAAATTTCTGTTATTATAATGCTTTTTTGTCATGTCATCCGTACCCTCTCCTCTTCCTCCAGCTGAGCACTGGGAGAGGGAGCAGACAAGCAGCATTTGAGGCAGAGGGCCAGCAGATCTCATAGGTTTGCTGGCTCAGGGAACTCTGCTCTGTCTGTATGGAAGCACACCTTGTTCCTCTCTACCGCCATCAAAGGAAAAATGCCAAGGAAATGTAAGGGGATTCCCCTTACAGAGTTGGCTACCTACTGTTTGGAAAACACCCACAAAATAGAAAAAAATATGGCTTTACTTTAAAATATTTCCTCTCAGAGCACACTGAATGAATGCATGTAGCTTTTCATTCATGTTTAATCAGAATTAATTACAGTTGAAGCAAGTCAGCTGGGGTGAAGATAAAGACTTCATGAGATTTCATGATAATAAGCATTGGGTAACCTTATAAGGAGAAGAGTTTCTACAGAAAGCCTGTATTCTTTTTCCTTGTGTTTTATTGCTAATGCTATTTCTATTCAAATAGGATCGTTTGTTTGCTTTTACCATTTATTACACACTTGAGGTCCTCCTTTATACCCTAACTAATTAAGATTTCTGACATGGGTGGTGCCTCCAAGTGCAAGATGAGGAATAAGCAAGGCAGTAGGCAGCTGAACTGCCAAGTTATCCTGAACCAGATGGCAAGGAGAAAGGGATGCTGACCATGTACTTCTCCATCCTTTTGTATCAGCAGAAATCTTACGGGATAGCCCTCTTCCTTTTTTTTTTTTTATCAGTCCAAGAGGGAATTCTTGGCATGCTCTTTCATTACATAACTAAAGAACTAAAAATGAGGTAAAGACTTGAAATGTTCTGTTTCAGCATTCTTTTGAGTGCCTGCTGGTTTAAAAAAATAACAGGTCCTTTTAGTGGATGTGTATACAGTGTACCAGATGTCCACAGAAATACAAGACTGCATTATAATGGTGTAGAATAAAATTAAAAATTAGACCAGGTAGTCTTGGTCAAAATGGATTACTGGATCCCTTTGTATTTATTTAGAGTTCATATATCTTTTCTGTTGCCCACTGAAACATTTTGTTCATATTGGCTCAGCATTCTACAAAGTTGGGGCAAACAGAAGGTCAGGCTCTGAGTGTCAAAGCCAATCTTTTGTCTCAGCCTCGCATGCTGCCTTCCAGCCAACCCTTGCTCTTTTATGTCCCAAATAGGAGTACTTGCCTGAAACCTGTTCCCATTTCAAAGAGTTTGGGGGCTGTACCCAAACTTCTCTCCTCCTGGAAGGGCCACAACTTGGAGGATTTAACAGATTTCTAGGATTTAATGAGGCAGGTGGTGTCCCTACAGAAGAAGTGATGGTGACGTTAACAGACACACAATACAATTGACCACATGTAGAAAAAAATGGCTTTGCCCATCTATGGAGCCATAATGGACTCAGCCAGGGTAGATCATCAGTCGCTGCCTCCTCTTATCCCATAGTACAGGAAATGGATAATGGAGATCAGGTTATTTTTACACCTAATTCACCACTTTTTCCTCACTTGCAGCTAGAGCAAATGTATTATGAATCTAGATAGATAGATACATTATATATTGTAGTATATTTGCAGTTTGCTTCCTGGAGTTGCTGGCTGTCTTCCTAATACCCAATATCAGAAGCCTTAAGAGCTATGTATATTTCTGGGGGGCAGGTACAAAGCCCTCAATAGCAGCTACAGCTTCCAGGTTTGAGAGATTCTCAGCCTCCATTAATAAAGTGCTTTTCAACTCCAGAAAGACCTTAACATCTTTGATATCTAAAGGCCAGACAGTAGCAAAGATGAGCCTATAAAAAGTCTTAGATGCAGTCAAGAGAGCCATTTGCTATGGCACCTGCCATGGTGATACAGAAATAGTAATGGCTGTAAGGATCTAGATTTCCATAAAAGTCCAGAATACCACAGAGGACCTACCATTTAAGGCGGAAACACTTTAGTGCTAAGACTGATGCAGCTGTACCTGCTTTTAAGGACTCTGGGGTGATGTCTCCAGCTCTTAATTTCTGGTTCGAAAGAGAAAAGAAGAGTGATAACTCATCTTGGATTTCAGGAAACTTCAGGTCATTTGTCTACAAGCTGAAATGAAGGTGGTGATGCCAGCCACTATAACACCTCTCAGTTTTTAAGATATATACTCTCACATTTCTGTTCTGTTGCTGCACAGTAATATTGTGCTTTGTGGTAGATCAAAGTCAGCATCAGTACAAGCTCCTGCCAGTCAGACTTTTGACAGGCTAAGGGTCTTCACCAAAGTCATAGAATCACGGAAGATAGGGATGGACGGGACCTTGAGGAGTCAGCTACTTGTTTAATCTTGTCTAACCTGCTCTTAACCCCAGTGAAGGAAGATTTCATTACTATTCCAGTACATAGCCATTCTTAGAGGGGTTTTGTGTCCCCCGCCTCCCCCCATGTTTAAACTAAATGTCTCATTGCAATTTACATCCATTGTGTGTTGTCCCATCCTCCAAGGTTTTTAGGTAATTTAAACAAATTGCAAAAGGTTCTTCTGATTTAGGTGTGTTACAAAAAGTAAATGAATATTGCACCTGAGTTTTCAATCAGAATGGTGAAGGGAGGCTGGCTAGTGAAAATGAGGGTATATACATGGACATGGTCAGTTCTGCCTTAAAGGGAATGCTCAGAGTTTCCTATGCTCTGGTTGGCACCAGCTGTTTTCATCCCAGAATGCTGAAGGAGTTCATACATGAAATTACAGGTCCAATAGGATGGTTGTTTAGTAAAACTGGCATGTCTGGGGTATCATTATATGAATAGAGAATACTATATTTACTCAAATATCATCAGCAATCCTTCGCAATGAAGGATAATTGTCTTCCATGATTGCCTTACCTGCGAGTCCGAAGATGGCTAACGAGGCCCGTCAGTGATTGACGGACCTTGTTGCAGCTGGGGCAAATGTTTCCATGTGGGGTAGATGGCTCTGGGTTCTTGGTTCAGTCTGTGATGCACTGTTTCTGCTGCTTCCATTTTTCTGTCTCCTATTTTCATCATAAGGTTTCAAAATACTGAGATCCTTGCAGCAGACTATTCCTCCATTTGGATGATAGTCTCCCATGAGTTGATATCAATGTTGCATTTTTTTAAAGTTGGCTTTGAGGAGGTCCTTGAAGTGCTTCCTCTGCCTCCTCTCAAGCATACACCTTGACAGAGCTCAGCAGGTTTCTAGGATTTGATGAGGCAGGCGGTGTCCCTACAGAAGTGATGGTGAAGTTAACGGACACATAATACAATTTACCACATGTGGAAAAAATATCTTTGCCTCTCTACGGAGCCACAGCGGACCCAGCCAGGGAGAATAACACTT